TCAAACCCTTGGCGTCTCTGTGTCCAGCACAAAAGCGACCCAAGACAGAACCCGCAGCAACTGCATTCTCTGGCTGTGGTCGTGGCGGCGGAGGCCGTAGCAGCAGCAGCAGCGGCGGCGGCGACCAGCGCGTCGGGCACCAGCACCAGCATCACCAGCCCATCTGCAAGATCTGCTTCCAGGGCGCCGAGCAGGTAAGGCCTGGCGGGACCCGGGGCGGCCGGCGTGGTGCTCGGCTGGTCTGCGCCGGCTCCGGTCGCGGTTCCCGACTGTTCAGCACCACGGACAGGGCTCGGCTCCCATCCGGCTCCTGGGAGGCTTGTCTGGTCCCGCTTGGTGAGCCGTGGCCACTGAGTGCTGGCTTCCCCTTTCGGTGAAGGGAGATCTTTGTTCCGATGCGGAACACAGTACTTAATTCGATGCCCATTTCCCCCTCTACCTCCTTTAGCACATTCCTCAGGTGCTTTAATAATTATAGCCTGAGTAGCTCACTTGCGAACCACCCCGTGGATTTTAGTTTATACATAGAGGCGCGCATCGGATGTAATGCGGAGTCCTTTTCATACAAACGTATCCTAAGGTGACGTGCTTCTTCTACAAGTGTTTTGAGGGTATAATCTTAGAAGACAAGCTGAGGGTGAGTCATGACACAAGCAAAAAGGACAGGGCCTTTTCTTATTGCAAATTTTGGTGACTTAATCTTGCTGATGTGCAAAGCATGGTAGTTTTTACAAGGGAAATAGGAATTTACTTTGACCTTGTGAAGGAACGGTTGTTCAGTCAACCAGGTACTTTCTATTTTATTATAGCACCATTCTAAAATTATAAACTCCGTTGGAGGTGCATGCAAACTTGTAGAAAAGAAATTGTGCAGGCGAAAGGATGATATACGTCTCTTACAAAACGTGTAGTTTGAGAAAATAGTAGGTTTAATATGTTGAAAAGTAAGGAAATTGCGGAAGAATATACAAGCTTTCAGGAGTATTGTGCCAAAGTTAGGATGCTGCATTTGGGGGGGGGGGGAGCCCCAAGAAAGAAAGCATAATGCAGACCACGTTCTTCTTTAGCGATGGTTAAGAATAAATGCAGAGGAAATGCATCTGACCATCCACTTAAAAGTTATTAAAGAGGTTTAATAGCACAGCTTTTCCTCAAGGGTATCAGGAGTTACATCTTGGAGACGTTTTGTATGTTGGTAGAACATTTATGTCATAACTCTGAGCAGTATCTTTGAAATAGTCTTAAGACTTTACTTTCATTCCCGTCACAGGTATAAAATTTTAATTTCCTTTTCTAGGTTAGAGCTTGATGCCCAGATCCTTCTGAGTAAGTGGCTTTGAAAGGCAAAAAGCAAGTGTTGGATTTTTAAAATCGAGACACAGGCATAAATACTCATACGGAGCTGGGTTCTTTTTAGGGCGAGCTGTTGAACCCCTGCCGATGTGACGGGTCAGTTCGGTACACACATCAGCTGTGCCTGCTAAAGTGGATTAGCGAGAGAGGCTCCTGGACCTGTGAGTTGTGCTGTTACAGATACCATGTCATAGCCATTAAAATGAAGCAGCCCTGCCAGGTAAGATTCACGGTATTCTTTTCCTGAAATAATTTTGCCTGAGTTTAGTTAGGATGCAGGATATTAATTTATGCTGCTTTGAAACATTTTAGGAGAAATCACAAGATTTAGAATTTGTAGAGATGTGCTTTGCGAAAGCCATGACATTTCATCTGAGAAACTCAAAATAACGTTTTAATCAAATTATTTCCTTTACCATTTATCGGTGAATTTATAGCCATTTTGGTTTCTAAAAAAATGCAAATTAGTAAAATGTCTTAGACTCCAATTAAATCATTGTTATTAATTAAAAATGTTACGCTGTTCACTTTAGCAATATTTTATGCACTGAAGCATTGAAGCTCTGGTTGGACTCCATTTATGGAAACCAAATGCAAGTAAAGCCCCACTTTACTAGTCTGTGGAAAATTTGACTGAACCTATTATAATGTTCTAATCTGAACACTCTTTCCCTTAACTAGGCTTTTCCTAGGGGTGTTTCACAGTTGCATTTTGGCCACTTCCCCTTTTTTGCTGTGTTCAGTTCCACAGGGGATGCAGAAGTGTTCCCGGCAGTTACTGTCAATAAGCCTGCTGTAGTTGTGTACATTCCTAAACTTTTCAGGTATAATCACAAAATAACACAAGACATGGAAGCCTACAAATCCTTGGAAAGTAGCCTCCTTCTCTTGATTTTTTTCCATGATGGAACTGATTCAGATTCTTTGAATAAATTGCTGGAATGTAAAATACAAAGCATGAGGAATGGCAGCTAGAGAAGTGTGTAATTGACTAGAGCTGGCAGTGCAGTGGGGCTGAGTTCAAGAAGACGCAGAGCCGGGTTCAACAAACAGAGACTAAGGAGGTAAAGGAAGGGAAGAGAAGGGGATTGGAAAGCGGGGAGAGAGAAAGTAAGAAAACCTGGTCTTCTGTGTTTCTACTTGCATTGTCAAATTTAGTTTGCACCGAGAGATACACAATAGGTGAAATTGCTAGTGTTTGCAGGAGGACCCTGGATTACTACTGTGTTAATGATCTGAATTTCATACTTTTTAATTTGTGCATCCTTCGTATAGCTTGCAATTAATTTGCATCTGCGATAGTCTCCACTTAAGGCATGATTTGTTGTTGTTGTTGTTGTTGT